GTAGAGACTGCACATTCGGCTTGCCACATAGCAGCTTTCGATTCTGCCTTTTAAACAAGGCACTCTTATTTGATGGTTGAAGATGTAGATCAACCCCAACGAGTAACTTTAGGAAATAAAGAACGGCAGAATTGATGAAGAACGACATTCCAATGGTAAGAGCTGGTTTTTATTTAATTACAGGCAAAATTATACATATACATAAGGTTATAATGTCTTGCTAATAAACTGAAAATTTGATTCTTTAATTCGCCTCGTGACTATGTCTTTATCATTAGTTTGTTCGTTAATTGTTTCTTTGTACCCTATTCGAAGAATAGCCGTCATGGTGAAACACGATTTCCGATGTTCTTCTAGATAAATATTAATTGTGGAATGAGGTAGAGATGACGCTGCTCTTACAGGTATTGTGTAATCTTAATAGCGCGAGCATTATTTGCTTTCATCTATTCGCCGTGTTATGCTGTTTTTTCCTGACATTCTGCACTCGCTGTCATAATATAGCTATAATATGTTCTCAACAAATTGTTTCGTTCTGCATTATAGCGCTGCCGGTTGCTTGTTCATCGAAGTGTAGAGTAAAACCGCAAAGCGTTTTACTCTAGTACCCTGGGATACCCTCTCTGTAAAGGAGTACTATTGTTTTAGATTTTGGGAGCTTTGTGAAATATGGCGTTTTCGCAATCAAGGAGCTTGCAGGAAATTCAGCTTATTATTTCCAACTGCGAAGTTCAGACCGTGATCAAAGCAAGGGATTGTATTCCAGAGGAAAGTACGGCTGGAGAATTTTTAGCGGTAAAGGCCGTCGGCTAGCTGGTTAGTGATAAACAGTCATTGACATTGCTTTATGTCTGTAAGCCAAATTTGGTCACGAGAAGGGCATCTTGACTACATACAGGACGGAGGGTTTATAGGCTCTTCCCCAGGCAAAGTAGGCCTGGCGAAGGTTTCCTTCACGCGGTCTACTTTTCAAGCGGAGGACGGGGATCCATAGGCTGGACAAACTAGAATCTAAACGATTGGATGAATGCAGTCGAAAAACTGGCCTTATGTCAAATTCTGTGTGAAAAGGTGACTAAAATTGTTTATTAATTCTGAATAGAGGACGACATTGTTATTCTTCGTCATATTAAATGAAACGTTTAATTGAGATAAGCTATCAGCTGTCCGTACGTTTTCCCTGCTGAGTCTCTTAGCAGCTTTTATGAAAGACGAGCGTCGCATAACGTTGACGCTTTTACGCTTTACTAA